TACGCCAGTTGGTAAGGCACTTGATGATGATGATATATTTTATTTGATTATTCCAGTCCGTTATGACTGACAGGCAATGAGAAACAGCCATCGCTTCGGTTGAGATCCCTAGTGCACTCTCTGTGGCAACCATTGAGCCTTTTGACAGTCTGCAGACCTCGCAGTAACAGCCGCTCTCCGTGCAGTAATGGTTATCTGAGTACAGGCACGTTTTGACAACAGCTGGTACTGTTATACTGTGCAAACTGAGAACCAATCTCCATGTACAACTATTGATCTGTGAAACCCTCGGATTTTCTATACAAGGATATTAGGATTATTGTATTTCTTTTTTGCCCACCTTCAAATTTTAAGAAGCTTGCATAAATCAGTATTTAGTTTGGCAGCTTTAGATAATCTCTCAGAGAAATCAGCTGAGACAAACAGCAAACTCGTGTAGTCAGATATCGGGTTTTGGTAAATCAGTTGTGTAGATATCGACAGTTTGGCCATCGGTGTTGTATTATGTATAATCACTACATGTAGCAGGCACAAAGCGACCCCCCCCCCCCTTTTCCCCACAAAAAGGTCAACATTAGTGACGGTGACAGTGTACTTAAGTAATATAAGATGAATGTTTGACACATACAATATAACGTAAATACAATTTTGTACCCAGGAAATTTAACTTAAAGATGATGATGTAGCCATACAATATAATGAACACGATGTTGTAGTCATGTGTTGTAATGGGGGAAACGATGTTGTTGCCAAGTGCTATAAGGTGAACACGATGTTGTAGTCATGTGTTGTAATGGGGAAACGATGTTGTTGCCAAGTGCTATAAGGTGAACACGATGTTGTAGTCATGTGTTGTAATGCGGAAACGATGTTGTTGCCAAGTGCTATAAGGTGAACACGATGTTTTAGACATGGATAGCTCTCGATTACACGGGTCAACTGTAAACAGTAAGATGTCGATTTTTGTGTTGGATTTGAACAGGGGTAGCTCTCGATTACACACATCAAATGTATATAGTCAGATGTAGATTTTTGTAATGCATTTGAACTAATATAACTAAACCAGAAATATAATGATCAGTTGCAAGACGTTAAGACTCAAGCCATGGCTGTGACCTTAGTCAGCTCATGACAAACACGTTTGGCTCGCAAGGGATCTGACTGGAGGTATTCCCACTGTTGTATCCAAGACTAAAGTGATATTTCCTGTAGATTTCCCCTGGACGTTGACAGAAACTAAAATTAGTGGTTGTAGCCAACAGCATCTTTGTAGCAAATGTTGATTGTGCAGACATGAAAAGAGACAGTAGAATTAATACACGCCTCAAGTACTCTTGTCAACTCCTGCAAAATTAGTATGTACGTGGTGCAAACATGTGAGCAATAACAAACTCATGAGAACACGAGGATGTTAATGTGGATATATAGTGAAATGTGTAATACGACAGGAAAATAGCAAGACAGTAGTAGTAGTTGTAGTAGTAGTAGTAGTAGTAGTAGTAGTAGTAGTAGTAGTAGCAGCAGCAGCAGTAGCAGTAGTAGTAGCAGCAGCAGCAGCAGCAGCAGCAGTGCTGCTGCTGCTGTTGTTGTTGATGATGTAGTTAATCACAGAGAATCTGATAAAGCTATGCAAGCAGACATAAATGGACACTTGTGAATGTATTCAGAAGCACACCACTATCATCATTAATGCTATATATCAAGCCTAAGAGACAGTCGGTTTACAACATCCAGGACAGACTCGAACCAGAGACAGTTGCTGTCTCATGCGTTTTCCTTCCCAGTGTCCCGTGTCCACAGTTGAGCTGATTTCCTGCGCCTCTTCTTTTAGAAGCATTGACTGACTTGAAAGTTGACCTCTTCAGGCTGCTCACTCAAGATCTGACACCCAGGCGATCCTACCCTTGATGTCAGTCCACCCTGGGAGATCCCATGTATCACGGGGAACCTCACAATAAGCTAGAATAATGGTTATATAACCGCTACACCGAGTAAAACTGTTGTGCATCCTGCTGTCTTTGAGGGTTTGCAGTTTGCTCTTACCGCTGTTCTTGTCTAACATGGCATGGCATGACACTCACAGACAAGCTTTACTGATGACAAACATAAAGTTTTCCTGCAAACGGTATGCACGTGACAGTATGACATCAAGGTGTGGACCATCCACAATCTACGCCAGAGACAGTGTTGGCAGTATGACATCAAGGTGTGGACGATCCACAATCTACGTCAGAGACAGTGTTGGCAGTATGACATAAAGGTGTGGACGATCCACAATATACATCAGAGACAGTGTTGGCAGTATGACATCAAGGTGTGGACGATCCTCAATATACATCAGAGAAAGTGTTGGCAGTATGACATCAATGTGTGGACGATCCTCAATATACGTCAGAGACAGTGTTGACAGTATGACATCAAGGTGTGGACGATCCACAATCTACGTCAGAGACAGTGTTGTCAGTATTACATCAAGGTGTGGACGATCCACAATCTACGTCAGAGACAGTGTTGGCAGTATGACATCAAGGTGTGGACGATCCACAATATACATCAGAGACAGTGTTGGCAGTATGACATCAAGGTGTGGACGATCCACAATCTACGTCAGAGATAGTGTTGGCAGTATGACATCAAGGTGTGGACGATCCACAATATACATCAGAGACAGTGTTGGCAGTATGACATCAAGGTGTGGACGATCCTCAATATACGTCAGAGACAGTGTTGGCAGTATGACATCAAGGTGTGGACGATCCACAATCTATGTCAGAGACAGTGTTGGCAGTATGACATCAAGGTGTGGACGATCAACAATCTACGTCTGGGAGAGTGTTGGCAGTATGACATTAAGGTGTGGACGATCCACAATCTATGCTAGAGACAGTGTTGGCAGTATTTTCCAGTCGTCACAGCCAGGTCGGCGTTTATTGATTAAAGCGCTATAAATAGTTAGTATTAATAATGTTATGTATCCGTATCTGATTCAATTGGGAGTGAGAAGAGTTTTTGGACAGGGGCGGTAAAACAGAGAAAGCATTGAGGTGGGGGCGCTCAACACCTGACACATTTTTAAGTGGGAAGGGACCTAAAGATACTTAAGTCTGGTTAAAGCGGGTGATGATAATAATAATGTGCTGAATACGTAAATACTACAACTGAAGTAATGTGCACTATATAAACACGTAAAAAAGATAACGTCTGTACATGGCTGGGAGAGAGCTTTTCCTCTTATACATTTTCTAGTGAAAAATGGGGGGGGGGGGGGGGGGGGGAGTAGGGGCGGAGTAAGTAGGCGGCGGCCTTAAGGTGCTTCCAAGTTCTGGCGCCCATGGAGAAGGGAGGCGATTTGAATGGAGCCGCCTGGGATGAGACAGGCAGACCTTTAACCAGGATGCAGTTGGCGTCATCAGTACGGAAAATCTTGGTTGGTTCTGTAAGAGACGACCCAGCCAGATCGCGTTCCAGTTTCCTGAGTGCAGTGATGTCAGTTGTCTCATGTATCCATTCAGCCAGTCACCCATTGAACGTATGTGGCGTGCTTGTCTCACAGTCAGTATATCTCTTCCATGTTTCTCATGTATCCATTCAGCCAGTCACCCATTGAACGTATGTGGCGTGCTTGTCTCACAGTCAGTATATCTCTTCCATGTTTCTCATGTATCCATTCAGCCAGTCACCCATTGAACGTATGTGGCCTGATCGTCTTGCAAAGTGAGTATAATCTCTTCTATGTTTCTCACGTATCCATTCAGCCAGTCACCCACTGAAAGTGTGTGGCCTGATCGTCTTGCACAGTCTGTAATCTGGTAATCTGGTAATTTTAATGTCAGCTTCATAGCAAACGGGTCACCCCATCTTTGCTCCGCTCCTGTGCCAACGAAAAACACACAGAATGTTTATCACAGTCCCTTGTGGAAAGACTGACAAACTGCTGTCTCAGCAAATCTAGCATACACTCACATTAAAAGCATATGGTAGCCATCCGAAATGCTAACACAAACAGTCTGACGTTAGAAATGCAGTTCATCATTGATGGTAGCAGAAGTCACCAAAAGATCAGCAGTTGCACACGCGATCAATTTTAATCAAATAATGGTTCCACCAATATTGCGACAACCGCCATTTTCTGAATCTACAAATCACACCACCACGTTGGTCAGTCGAAAAACATTCGAAATGAAATCCGCAGCTCACAGTGTCACGCCATGCACTCAACTCAGAAGCTGGGTAACGAAACTATATACTTCCAGTCTACAAATGGAGCAAAAAAGCAACGGCAAGTCTGGCAGAAGCAAAAAAAAAAAAAAAAAATTTGCCTCGGCTCAAAACAGTGGCAGTGCCTAGTGTTCATTTGGACCTGAAGCATTATGTGAGAGTTAATAAACTGTCACCCCAGCAGTACCCTAATATTAGGTGGGGAAGGGATTTAGGACATTACATCCACAGCAAGCGTCGCCCCAACAACGACCTGACTGCCTTCGTTAACGACTGTTCACACAACAGCCATGCAGTTCTTTGGCACGAAGGAGACACCTTGAACTTGGGTTTCGCACAGTCTGTATATCTCTTCTATGTTTCTCATGTATCCATTCAGCCAGTCACCCATTGAACGTGTGTAGCCCTATCGTCTTGCACAGTCTGTATATCTCTTCTATGTTTCTCATGTATCCATTCAGCCAGTCACCCATTGAACGTATGTGACGTGCTTGTCTCACAGTCTGTATATCTCTTCTATGTTTCTCATGTATCCATTCAGCCAGTCACCCATTGAACGTATGTGACGTGCTTGTCTCACAGTCTGTATATCTCTTCCAATGTTTCTCATGTATCCATTCAGCCAGTCACCCATTGAACGTGTGTGACGTGCTTGTCTCTCACTATCAGTATATCTCTTCCATGTTTCTCATGTATCCATTCAGCCAATCACCCATTGAACGTGTGTGGCCTGATCGTCTTGCACAGTCAGTATAATCTCTTCCATGTTTCTCATGTTCCAGACACCCCAATGGCCGTCAAGCCTCAAAAGAATACGAAAAAACGGACAAAAGTGGACAAGAGAACTGGCACCGGTAGGTAGAACATCATCATTATCATCAGACTTCTGCTGACGACGAGAAACTCTTTGGTTTGTGTGCGAATGTTTTACTTGGAGCATTTGCTGTCTGTGCAGTATTACTGACATTGTGTTTAGTTGTGTTTTGTGTGTCTTAGGAATTTCATATGGCACGAAGAAATAGATTAGCCCAGTGTTCTTCAACTTTTTTTTTTTACACCCGCGGTCCAGCAAAACAGGGGGTATGGTCTCGTGGCCTACATGATAGCTAACCAAACACAGAAACAAACCAATGGGAATGGTCTTGTGGCCCACATGATAGCTAACCAAACACAGAAAGAAAACATGGGGCATGGTCTCGTGGCCCACATGATAGCTAACCAAACACAGAAAGAAAACAAGGGGCATGGTCTCGTGGCCCACATGATAGCTAACCAAACACAGAAAGAAAACATGGGGCATGGTCTTGTGGCCCACATGATAGCTAACCAAACACAGAAAGAAAACATGGGGGAATGGTCTCATGGCCCACTTGATAGCTAACCAAACACAGAAAGAAAACATGGGGCATGGTCTTGTGGCCCACATGATAGCTAACCAAACACAGAAAGAAAACAGGGGGAATGGTCTCATGGCCCACATGATAGCTAACCAAACACAGAAAGAAAACAAATGTAGATAACAGTTTATTTGTTACATCTGATGTCACATAGTTACAAGTTGAAGCTGATGTCACATAGTTACAAGTTGAAGCTGATGTCACATAGTTACAAGTTGAAGCTGATGTCACATAGTTACAAGTTGAAGCTGATGTCACATAGTTACAAGTTGAAGCTGATGTCACATAGTTACAAGTTGAAGCTGATGTTACATAGTTACAAGTTGAAGCTGATGTTACATAGTTACAAGTTGAAGCTGATGTTACATAGTTACAAGTTGAAGCTGATGTTACATAATTACAAGTTGAAGCTGATGTTACATAGTTACAAGTTGAAGCTGATGTCACATAGTTTTAAGTTAAAGCTGATGTCACATAGTTACAACTTGAAGCTGATGTTACATAGTTACAAGTTGAAGCTGATGTTACATATTTTGATTCTCATACTTGGTTTGTTAATCCTGCACACTGTAATCCTGAAAGGAAAAAAACGTCCTGTCCAACCTTCATGATTATCAAGACATTTTCGCCAGTGTACCTGGACTTTGTCGCTGTCCAATAGGGGTGCGCGGTCCACTGGTTGAAGAACACTGATTAGCTACCTGTGGAAAAATACATGCCAAGATATGCAGAGGTTAACTGAACTTTGTATACAGTTGCAACATGTGTGCAGCAGACAACATTAGCAACACCATTTTGCTTCACACTGTCAGACTGACGTCTGCTCTTGGCTATGCACTTGGAGAATTGAAAGCACATTACATTCTGATATGCTGAAAGCACAATAGATTCCGATATGCTGAAAGCACAATACATTCCAATATGCTGAATGTTAACACTCGTTTTTAAAAGTGATATATCAGCTAGTTACATTTCCTCTTCAGGACATCACAGTCCAATACAGGCGTTTACTGACTGTGATTTCAGTTGCTATTTCAGTAATTGTCTGTTGCTGCTGAATGGTACGACGCTTATACTGTTGTTGAAATCAGTTACATGTGGTCTACTATTAGATCACCTGCAGCTGACTCCGAACCCTGGTTTGTCCGGATTGTGCAACTGCTCCCAATTCCAAAGCTGCACGGCCTCTTCGTTTATCCGATCATGGTTTCACTAAGAATATTTCAAGCATTGACAGTGACGAACAAATCTGTGTTTGTGAAATATTCCGAATCTGTTTTGTAGCAAGAAACAGCTACAGTTTTATGGAAGGGTTGGGTGAGGTGGGAGCCCCGATAAGAGAAGTTGAAGAGATGGGAAATAAAGAGGTGGTAGGGAGAGGGAGAGTGAGAAACAGAGAAAAGAAAAAAAAAAAAAAAAAAAAGAAAGAATGGTATAGAGAGGGGGAAAAGAGTTTGAGTTAAGAGAAGTGTAGAGAGTTGATTTATTTGCTACGGATGAAAGAAGTAGTAGTTGACCGTAGACCCGTCAAAGCCAGGCTGTGTATAGGAATGGCACCAAGATATGCAGCTGAACCAACTCTAGACCAGGAAAACGACCTGGAGGTTACAAGAATGTGTCGACAATATGCCACATGCAGCTGGACTAAGTCTAGACCAGGAACACGACCTGGAGGTTACAAGAATGTGTCGACAATATGCCACATGCAGCTGGACTAAGTCTAGACCAGGAACACGACCTGGAGGTTACAAGAATGTGTCGACAATATGCCACATGCAGCTGGACTAAGTCTAGACCAGGAAAACGACCTGGAGGTTACAAGAATGTGTCGACAATATGCCACATGCAGCTGGACTAAGTCTAGACCAGGAAAACGACCTGGAGGTTACAAGAATGTGTCGACAATATGCCATATGCAGCTGGACTAAGTCTAGACCAGGAACACGACCTGGAGGTTACAAGAATGTGTCGACAATATGCCATATGCAGCTGGACTAAGTCTAGACCAGGAACACGACCTGGAGGTTACAACAATGTGTCGACAATATGCGATATGCAGCTGGACTAAGTCTAGTCCAGGAATACGACCTGGAGGTTACAACGATGTGTCGACAATATGCCATATGCAGCTGGACCAACTCTAGACTAGGAACACGACCTGGAGGTTACAATAATGTGTCGACAATATGCAGCTGGACCAACTCTAGACCAGGTATACGACCTGGAAATTACAAGAATGTGTCGACAAAATGCGATATGCAGCTGGCACACCATTGTTCACTGAAACGCTCGAGAGCTGTGACCACTGTTGGCTGTTGTTGTAACAGAGCGCAGAAACCGACTTTCCTAGATTATTAATATCATGAATAAGACAACAATGGATGCGTGAAAGGAAAGGAAAACATGACAATGTACTATTGCAGGGCTGTTTAACTGGCGGCCAGCGTTCCAAATCTGGCCCGCTTATTTCGGCAGTTACATGAAGAAACGGAAGCAGATTACAAAGACTTACTTCTGCACAATGATGTCGTTGGCTGAGTAAAGGGAAGGCACTTGATCGTTTTTGGAGTATCAAAAAGAAATAATATGTTTTTTTTTCTCGAAAATTATTCTCATAACAAGGCCGAAATGTATAGGAAAGTTTCACTTGACAGTGCATTTTTTTGCAAATGTTTTTGCTTTTTAAACGATTTGTTTGCTCATTTGAACACACTGTACTTGCAACTGCAAGGAAGACACAAGACAAGACAAGTTTATCTGGCTGAACAATTGAACGTTATTCTAGATAAGCTGCCTGTGTTTGTAACGGATCTTCAAACAGCCAGATTTCTTCATTTCCCAAACCTGAAAGATTTTATTTCTTCAACACTGGACTCAGCAACCGTAACCAATCAAACGACAGATTTATTTAAAATGCTTCAGAATAATTTCAACAATAGATTTGAAGACTTCAACATCCCAAACAGTGTTATGTTATTCGTTCGAGATCCTTTAATTAACCCCCGCCCCCCCCCCCCCCCCCCCCCCCCCCCCCACCCCCCTTTCTTGCTGTTGATTTTTCTTCGAATGCTAAAAAGCTGTTATCCTCTGTTAATGAAGGTTCTCTGCAGTTAGAACTTGTGGATATGCAAAGTTCAAGCGCACTGAATGAAGATTTTCAAGAAAGTGGTACAGTCAAGTTTTGGACCGAAATGATTCAACAGGAGCAGTTCCCTAATGCTAGAAAGGTTGCTGTATTCATACTCACCATGTCTGGTTCAATTTTCACTTGTGAATCAAGCTTTTCACATGTGAACGTCAACAAGACAAACAGTCGGAGCTCACTGAGCAATGATAGGCTGTTCTCTTACTTACTTACTTAGTCGCTCCTCTTCTACCTTGGGGTGTAGAGGTTTGCCAGAGAGATCGCCAGACGTCTCTATCAGCAGTTTTCTTTCTGGCTTTGTTCCATTCCAGTCCTCTGTCAGTCAGGGACTGTCGGATGTTGTCTTCCCAGCGCACCCTGGGTCGTCCCGGAGGTCTGGTTCCCTGGTTCTTAGCCTCCCATGCTTGCCATGGTGGCCGATTTTCTCCCATTCTGCACACATGTCCAAACCATCGTAACTGTGACTGATCCACTCGGGTTAGTAAGGGCTGGGTATCAAGATCTTGACGTATTGTCTGATTGCGGACTTTGTCCTTCTTGTCACTTGGACCACCTTTCTCAGGTATCTCATTTCCGAGGCCTGCAGCTGGCTTTCTGTGAGCTGTTGTCATTGCCCATGACTCACACCCATAGGTCAGGACTGGTACATAGGTAGAGCGGTAAACAGCCATTTTCGTTCTCTTGCCAATTTCTCTTTTGCTAAGAAACCCTCGGTTTATGGCCTGGAAGAGTCTCCCAGCAGCTGCTTTTCGTGTAGCCAGCTCAGTCTTAATGCCTCCATTTTGGTCTAATACAACTCCAAGGTATTTGAACTGGTTAACCTGCTCCAACGCATACTGACCCATCATGATCTGGTGTTTCTTCTCCTCTCTTGAGATCACCATGGTTTTAGTTTTGGAGACACTGATGGTCATCCCTTTCTTTTCAAGCTCTTCCTTCCAGACAAGTAAGTTGGACTGAAGGTGTGCCTCTGATTTAGCTATCAGGGCCACATCGTCTGCAAAAGCCAGCTCTGATATACAGATTGGTCTCATCTTCCAGTACCCTACAGAGTACTTCTTTGTCTTCTCCTTACAGGTCTTGATGACATCATCCATCATAAGAATGAAGAGGTAAGGTGAGAGAATATCACCTTGTCTAACACCGCTGGTGGTCTTAAATTCTTCTGACTTTTGGTCTGCTGTTCTTACATAATTTCTGCACTTTTTGTAGAAACTCTGTATTGCACTGATCAGGGGTGCTGGGATGTTTTTCCCTGCCAAGCAGTCCCAGAGCTTGTTCCAGGGTACCTTGTCAAATGCCTTTTCCAGAT